TTTAAAAATATTTGCCAAAAATGGAGAATTGATGATATCATGATGAAATGAACAAATCTGACACAGGTCCACCCAAGCTACCTACATAACAAGTATCAATTTAAGCCATTGAGCTGGTAGTTTTCAAGAAGTCAAAAATGCAGTTGTTGATGGACAAACAGACGGCGACGGACAATCAATATGAACAGCACAGCTCTGTCATCTACAATGGTGTTTAAAAAGTTAAGCAGTGAACAATAAAAACTAAACTTACTTTTCTGATATGTTGGCAGAAGTTTTAACGAGTGCAAATATTGCTCAGTTGCATCACCAGGAAACTTGCAACATTTGTACAAGATAGTGGTACTGCTGATGAGAGGTCTAGTCCTACAAATAGATTGATATGAAAAATGAACCCAAAAATTAAAAAAATTAGCTAAATCCTAATATGCAACATAGTATTCGATGACCCCCCCTCAACCCGCTCCCTAAAGGTCACACATCCTGGTACTTGCATGACTCCCTAAAGGTCACACATCCTGGTACTTGCATGACTCCCTAAAGGTCACACATCCTGGTACTTGACCACCCCCAAAATTGTTAATGAACCAAAATCATAGGCGACGGCACGAAATTTTGCATGGAGGAGCGAGATTTGCTCATCTTCCAGACCCCCTGAAATGCTATTTCCTGCTTTTTGAGGGGCAAACTTTGCTCACACAAAGGGTTTCAGCTTGATTTTAGAGGGTTTTTTTCTGCCCCCTGCACGCTGCTGTGGAGCGCCGTTCAAAGAGTGGTTGAAAAAAAATAAAGTCAAGGAAACCATCCACATCAACTTTGCAATCCTGAGCATTCAAATTTATTTACGTTGCACATGTAGGGGTAATCTTGTTATGCTGCTCAGGGGAGTCTCAACAACCATCCCAAAGTACCTTTTCTGAGAAAATGTCTGGATATATCCGCCCCAGAATATAGCAAGCATGATAGACCAACTGGAGTCAGTTGCAGCCATTAGAAACAGGTATGAAAACTCATCACACAAATGCTGATGCATATACATGACATTATGTCTAATGAAAATGTGTGATTATTATGCATATTCAGCCTTAAATGGCTGCCATTTGGCCATCTTGAATAAAATCATTAGACAAATGCATATGCACATGTCTGATACAACGTCTGATATATATTTGAAGTTTGAACTTGATTGGTTCAAGTATGTGGGCCCGTGTAGGTTCTTATAAAGTCAGACAACAAGTCTGTTACTTTGAGTTGAAAAGGACGACTACTTTATTACGTGGTCTAAACACTACTGACCCATGTCAGCCTTGACTCGAACATATCACAAGTTCGCATTCTGGCAGGCAATCTCAAGTTACATTAACGTGATAGGGTAAAACTATAATGACGAAATGCAAAATAAAGAATATGATAGTGATAAAAGACGTTTGAGTTATTATACACGACCATGTTGGCGCCAATGCCCAGGCAAGCGCCCATCTCCCACATTTGCTCAATTTTTATATTCGTAGTCACATTCGGCAAAGCGCCTACCCCTTCAAAATGCAAATAATTTAAAACTTGGTCTTGCGTAACAAATCATGGTAATATATTATCCAAGTTCTTAGAAACTGTTTAGGAGTTATTATGTACTCATTTCATGGACATTTCCCCTCATATAAATTTCCCTTCATTGAATGATGATCAAACTAGGTAAGAATACTACTGTACTCACTTGTACTTCCTTGTCCACTCCACTGTAATTGGTTGCCCGGCAACTGTTTCCACAGGGCCAGTTATTTCAACTGGTTCATCTTTTTCGTCAGTGAGAGACGCCTCCTGAAGAACACAAGCTGGAGATATTACATCACCCATTTTAGAATGCAGTGTCGTAGAGAAATCCCACAATACATAGTCATCGTCATCCACAGGAGGTACTTCGTATTCCTCTCCAACATACAAGTCATTGAATACAACCTGTTGCCATGGTGATACAGCTGCACTTCTGTTCGGAGTCTCTGTATCTTCATCTATTGGTGGGTTTGAATCAAAAGAATTGTCACCTTCATAAGTGTCCACACTTCCGGTCGAGTGATCCCGTTGGAATACTTGATACGAAGACCGCTTTCTCTCTGGGCCATGTTGTTTGGACCAGACTAATTTGATGACTCGAATCGTGCTCTTTGAAATACTGGCGATGTAGTCTCCACATACAGCCACTTCCAAGATGTTGAACCCAATGTTAATAACTAGCGCTTGTTCAAAATCACTGTACACGAAGCTGGATGATCCCAGTGTCTTACTACAATGGTAAAACAGATTTAAAGTGGTTCCCATGGCAACTATCAAATTTCCAGTTTTATTACAGCTTGCAATATGTTTTGATGATTCTTTCAATGGCAGTTCCACCACTTCAAGTATATTTGCAGTTGTTTCCGACCAACGAACACTCTGTCCAGCAACACGTGCCCTTGTAGGTTGTTGCGTCGTACATGTCTGCCAGTTGAAATACACTCTGACAAACGTCACAGGTTGATGTCTCGTCGTCTTCAATTCTAATGTGGCAATATAATTCCCTGAAAGAATGTTATTTGACTGAATAATTGATAGTAACAGAAATACTGTTTGATAACAGATAAATTTTATTGGAGTTATTAAACAGAGATAGTCACAGTAAAGTTGCATGTGAAAAAGCGTTGTTATAATATTAAAGGTTGTATTTGGACACCCAAATAAATAATTGTCAGTGTTGTAGATGTAATTACTTAAGACCATTTTTTTTTTTTACAAGGTTCTTCTAAATTTGGTTTCACAATTCTGTTGGATAAGATCTTTCATGAACTGTACATAAGCCATAACCCTTGCGATTCTCATAGAAATAAGTGTGAGGTTTTTGCAGATTACACAATGTGAGAATGCAACTGTCCATGCAAATGTCATCAAATTTCAAATAGTTAGTAATTTGCAGTACTTTATTGGCTGTCTCATTCACATAAGTAAGGGTTATGTGTAGATAGGATTGGC